GCGCTGCAGTCAGGAGCCTCCCTTTCCTGCTGTCATCCGCTCTCCTCCCTGCCGGGGTCCCTCACCACTCTCACTGGCCAGTTTAAATTTGTCCTTTTCTTAGGACTGCCTTGTTTCCGTGTTCTTTTTTCTGTTTCTTCTCTCCTTGTAACCCGCCCCCCAAGATCCCCTGCATCCCGGAGGTTTTGCTGTTTCTGTTTCGCCTTCCCTGGTAAAGGAGGAGCTTGGGGAAGGCTGGGGACTCTCTACTGACCCTCCCACCTCCAGGTCTCCATGCAGCTGCCTGGTGAATGAGGGTGGGAGAGAGGACGAAGGACTGAAGGAAGGAATGCGCACGTCAGCGCAGTCCTCAGGCTCTCAGCCATCGCTTCCCGCCACTCCTAAAAGCTACCCTGCTGGCACCTCACAGTCTCATGAAGAAGCCCAGTCCTGAGTACGATGGCTCTGGGCTCCTGAAGTTTCTCTGTCTGAGAGCCAAACGTGATTTTCACATCCAAAACATTCACACAGTAGTTTGTGAACATTCTATGCTGGTCATGGGACTTGGCTGCTTAAAGCCGGTCCCAGCTGCAGCCCCACAGCAGGCATTAGCCCACAGTGGCTGGTGCACAGCAAGCTCCACCCTCGCCCACTCAGCCAGGACAGACATCACTAATCCATCATGGCACCCTAAGCCCACCACGGATGCGGAATGGGCGTCTGTCTCAGCAGAGAGCTCAGACGGCTCTTGCCAGTTGGCCAGACCGGGGGCTTTTCTGCCCTATTCATCCAGTTTTTGCCATTTTATTCCACTGGCTCATTTCACAGCTGGAGAAGGTGACAGAGGAAATGAAATGTCTCAGATCTCAACTGCGGGATTGTCAGATCAATTGTGCCCTATCGGGGAGTACCAGAGTGCCCCTACTCAGCTTACACTTCAGGAAGCAGAGTGCCACTGTCCTCTCCTTGCCCTCCACCATCCCATCTCCAGTGCAGCCTGCCCACGTTCAGGTGCTCAGCTCCCTGTGGCCATACTGCCGGTCCCTTGTTCACCACCCTGCTGGCCTGAACAGTTGCGGAGTGAGCCAGCAGGGCACCAGCATGGGTCGCTTGTCCATCCCATCTGGGATTGCATCTGCCCTCGTTCCCGCCCCAGCCACAGCCAGCTGGGACCTTTTCCCTTCCCTCTGTGCCGTGTGCCTTAGTTCACGTACTGGACCCCATTCTTCCTGTCACCACTGCCCAATTTATCACCTGTGCACTGCCTGTCCCCAGCCTCCTCACACCAACATCCACTTGGGTCACACTGCCTCAGAGGCTCTCTGTCACCTGCACAGGGCCCTGTACACTCCCTTGCAGGGCAGAGTCCTGTCCAGCCTCAGGTCCTGCCTGTGTCCCCCGCTTCTTCCTCCCACTGTCCAGCATAGGAATGTGATGCTCCCCGACACGGTGATGGGGTCTTCCCAGCACGCTGCTCCTCCTGAGCCTCCGGAGCCGTGGCACATACAGTTACATCCCCACCAGGAATGTACCTCCACCCTGAGCTCCTCCACAGCCTTCACATCTCAGTGACAAACCTCTTCCCTCCTTCTGGGGAGCCTGTCCTGGTGCAGGCTGTCTGCTGCCTGCACTCAGCACACAGGACAATGTTCTGTGTTTCCTGGTCTCCAGGCTGCAGCTCTGAGCTCCCCGAGGGACCCTCCCATCTAAGAAGAGCAGATCCTCCCTGGACTCATGCCAGGAGCAGCAGGCCCAGGGCAGGATCAGAGGCAGGAAGGAACCCGCCTGGGCCCAAACTCCTTGCAGCCCCCAGTGGCTGAGAGGCCTTGGGCAAGTCCCAAAACCAAAAGACAGTGACAGGGACACCTCTCTGATGCTGTTTGGGGAAGAGGACAAGAGTTGCAGCTTCCTCAACACCCACCACACACACGGGCTCGGCATGTCACCCCAAACATTTGTCGGAGGACTCCCCTTTTCATCCGGCCTCCCTGGGGTGACACTGCCTGGAATCCACGCTTGTGTTTCCTTCCACAGGAAACTCACGCAGACCTCGCTGTATGAGTGGCCATCTGCACCCAGCCCAGATCCTGCTGGTTTCCTGGCCTCTGTGAACCCACCGTGCACCCCGGGGCCCAGCGAGGGCAGTGAGGCGACAGCTCTGTGTCCCATGGGCTGGAAGCCTGTGGGGACTGGACCTGTCCCACTGGCAGAACTTTGGAACCCTCTGGACCTCAAGGGCCTCATCCACAGATGGGCGGTGGCAGAAATGCCATCCTGTGGCTGTTCGGTTTCCACGCGACTCCTCGGCTTGGTTCCCCTTGGAGGGAAGCTGTCAGGGCTCGAGGCCAGGGGCTTGGTGGGTGGTGGCAGCAGCTGGGGCAGGGCAGGCAGCGTGGGCGTGGCCGTCTCATCACACCTGCTCTACTGTCACCATCCCGGGGACACCGCATCCCATCCCAACTGAGCCTCGGACACTCACTGCCTGGCCCTTCTGCTCTGGCCCGGCTGTCCCTGGCCCCCGCTGTCTAGACAGAGACCAAGCCCTGGATAGGGAATGGCATCTTCTAGGCACACAGGGCGGAGATGGGCACAGTGACCAGAGCAGGCTCTCCGTGAGTTCACAGGACACTGGCTGGGGATGGTCCCTGTGGGGAGAGGACTTCGATTGGTTGGCTCTGAATTAATCATAATTCGTAGTATTTAGTGAGTCGTGCCATGTGCCAGGCTTTGTCCAGTGTCAAGGGCTGGCAGTGAACCACACACTCACAGATGCCCACTATGACGCTGGCATCCTCGCTGAAGAGGAGCAAGGTAACCCACTGGAGACATACATGGCATGAAATGGAGTATTTTGAGGGGGACCTATAGCAATGTGTCTTCTACTGTAATAATTTTTCAAAATTTTAAATATTCACTGTATATTTTGACCACCTCTGTAGTGTGAGAAAACATCATGTAGTAGGGCAAAGCAAGGAAGGAGAAGGATGAATCTAGGTGTTGGATTAGCAATGCAGTTTGAAAGAGGGGAGTGCAGTTTGAGAAGACTGAGCGAAAAGTGTGTCCAAGCACACGGAGAGAGAGCACGAAAATCTTGGTGAAAGGGGATTTTGAGAAATGGCCAGAAAGTGCAAAGTCCCTTGGGCAGGCACAGTTGGAAGCGGCACCATTTTACCAGCATGAAGGGAAGGGAGCTTGTCAGGGCGGGAGGTCTAGGAGACTAGTTAATTAGTCTGATCATACAGTGCTTTGAAGAAATCTAAGTGTAACCAAGAGAAAACCTGAAGAAAGCCTCTCACCTCACTGGCTTTTAGTAGGGTTTACCTTTCTCTAATTGAAGAAGGTCACACAGGTGAACAATTTATTTCTGGCTTCCCACTAGCTTTCCTCTAGAGGACCTCTGTAACTGAGGCTACTTAATAGATTAAAACTCTGATGCAAGATACTTTCTGCTCTCCTCCAAGATTCTGTATCTTAGACTGCTACCTATCTGAGAAAAGAAACTAAAAAGGCTTTAGTCATAAAACTTACTAGTTGGTTTCTTTCCTCTAGATTTACAGAACCCAGAAGGTTGAGTAACCTCCCCATAAAAGCATCATGTTAACCAGGGAAGCAGACTGCCTGGGAATTGCTAACAACCCTGGAGTTCCTCTACCAGCTGATCTAGGACTGAAAAGATACCCTGTGACCCTTAAGCAAAATGATCTTTCTTAGCAAGAGCCTCCCATCTTCCTTGCTGTGCTGATTTTCCAAGTGAATATTTTTCCTTGCTCCAACTTGTCCTCGAGTATCAGCTTTCAAGCGGTGAGCAGAACAGACTTGGGTCCAGTAACACAGCACAAGGAATTTGGATTTCACATGCTTAGAGACTTATGAAAAAGAGGAAAGACCTATTTTGATGAAAGATGGTGAAGAGGGTGGAGACCAGCTAGGTGGCTTCTGGAACATCCAAATGACTAAAAGAGGTTTGGAGCAGGGAGGTGGGTCAGCACTGGTCAGATTCGCATTCTGTTTGAAGACAAATTTGACGGCATTTGCTGGTGGGTCAGATGCTGCAGTGGGGAAGGAAAGGAGATTTAAAAACCAAACAACTGCCTCCCATTTGTTTAGCCCAAGTGCTCGTCTCTTCCCAGCGGAATGAGCTAGGGAAGACTGAGACATGAGCATCTCAGGGTGGGAGCAGAAATCAAGGGAAGTTAGAGTCAGCGATACCTCTAATCTAATTGAAACACAGAGAGGCAAGTGCACTGGTTAATGGTCAGTGGTCGGCTAGAAATTTGCATCTGAAGTTGCTGCCCATAGCCTGAGGTGGGATCTTCAAAGACTGGGTACAAATAAAAAAGAGGAAGTCCAAGGACCAAAGTCAAGTTCTGTCACCCCCTGTGGAGAGACAGACAGGAAGCAAGAGAGAAAAGAGGGTGAATGGGGTGGGCACACGGGGGAACTGGTGAGACTGGAGGCCAGAAATTGGGTGAAGATGAGCTCCAGGGAGGACACTGGATTCTTCATGGTCAGCTGCTGGCCATGGTCAGGGAGGAAGAGGGCCAACTCCTGACCACTCCACCTAACTGCAGGGGTACTGCTCACAGACAGGAGAAGCGAGGGTGGCCTGGGGGAGCGTGTTCAGGGAGGACAGACTGAAAAGGCATCAGGTACAGTGACTGCAGACAGCCCTTGAGAGGAAGTGGTGATGGCCCAGGAGGAGAAGGACAGAGCTGTGGCAAGAAGACGCTGTACAGTGGAGCCGGCTCCCCAAGGGCACCTCCCCAGAGTCTCCTTCATTCCCTGGACTTCATTTGTATGGCCCCTTTACCCATGGCAGATTACACTCTCAATTCCCCCAATTGATGTCATTGCCTTCCTAAGTGGCTTAGGTGCAGGAGGCCAGGGACCGGAAGGCAGCAAGCCCATGCTGCAGGTGGGGTCTTGGATCTTACACCCTTGCACACTGTCGCTGCTCTGTCCCTCCCCAACCTGTGGCTGGTGAGGGCCTCAGCTCCCTGGTCACTTATGTGGCCTCCCTGTGATCTGGGCATCATGTCCTTCCAGCTGCCTCTTAGGGAGGATGAACTGAGTCACGTGGGGAAACTTTGTGAAACGGTGTCAGTAAGAGAAGACTGTCACCATCTATAGCAGCAGGACCATTAGTGTCTGAGAACCCTGGCATCTGTCATGTCCTTGTGCCCTCTGCAGCCCCATGCCAGGCACCCAGACACAGAAAGGCACCTTCAGTCTCCTGTCCCCCTTTCTCACCCTTTTAGCCTGCGATGGAGGGTCACGTTGATGAGCTGCCCAGCAGTCTCGGTGTCTGCCCAGCTGCACACAAGGCGGCTGGTGTAGTCATTGTAGCAGCGCAGGGTCTGCAGCGGGACGGTACCTGCAGGGACACGCAGAAGGGTCGCTCTCCTTCAGCCCCTTGCCACTGCCCCCAAGCATCTCCAGGATGCCCAGTCCTGGGGAGGGAACCAGGTTCCTGCAGACGCCCTGGGCAGAGCGGGGCTGGGCGGGGGGGAACGTCCACGACTCTTCTCCCCACAGAAACACAGCTTCTAGCTTACCCTCAGCACGTTACAGGGCCCCGTGTGCTGGCCTAGGGCAGGGTGCCCTCAGGAGGGGACCAGTGTCAGGCACAGCCCCACCCCTGCACCCCACAGTGCCCCCCAGAAAGAGGTACCACCCAGGTCCACACTCAGGCTTCTGTCCGTCCTCTGCCTGCCTGATCCGGGCTTGGAAAAGGGGCTGTCATTCCTGAGGTCGTGACAGAAGCCAGTCTGGGGGCACTGGGGGGGGCTCCTTCTGTCTCAGAGCCCCAGGAGCCCCCAGAGGGCCTCCTAGCAGCAGAGGTGGCTGGGCTGCTTCAGAGAGAGCCCCAGGCCAAGGCTGCCAGAGGGAATCAGAGCCTCCCGGGAGAAGAGGGGAGGGGGGTGGGGAGCAGAGAAGAGGCTGGACCCACCTGAAGTCAGGGCCTTGCTTGAGTGCCATAGTGAGATGGGCAGGCAGAGACAGGGCCTCCCTCAGTGGGACGCTCAGGCTCCAGGGGAGAGTGACAGGGGTGTGTGGACCTTAGAGGAGAGCCCAGGTGACCAGGTGGAGAGGACAGAAAGGAGCAAGATAGGAAGAAAGGAGAGGTGTGGGTGTCCAAAAGCTTCCAGGGTGCAGTGGGGGTGTCCCCGACATGTTCAGGAGTGAGACGTGGGATGAGGACGGGGACAGAGCCTCAGACTCACCCTGTGACCCTTCCACACTGGGTCCCCAGCACAGAGCCAGCAAGGCCACGAGGAGCGGGCCTGGGAGCAGCGCCATCTGCCGGTGAGCTCTGGACCTGCAGGTTGGCGCCCGTTGGATGCTGGTTATGGGCAGGTGGGTGTCCTCATTGCTCTGAAGTCTCCCATCTCTGCCTGGCTGAGGGCTGGGCCAGACTCATGTCACTGGCTCTTGTGACTCCAAGAATCTGCCTCCTCTGGGCCTGCAGAAGGATGACTTCATGGGAGCTGCCCAAGACCTAGCCTGTGCAGTCAGTCCCAGTCCCTTGAGATTGTCTCCCAAGCAAGGTGGTGCAGGAGACGGGCATGAAGGATTCTGGGTACCAACAAGCAGTGCGTTGAGACAACAGCCCCAGAGGGGGAGGCGAGGCTTTGATGGCAACCAGGCTCCTTGTGGGCGATGCTTTGGAGAGTCACCGGGATGGAGGGGGGTTGGATTGCTTGGTGGCATTAATCTTTCTTTCTCCAGCACACACACACACACACACACACACACACACAGAGGGACCTGGTGCTGCCCCTGGCTGGCTCTGTTTACCGTCATTTACTCCCTGACATCTCTGTCTGTCACTCTCTACCAGTTCTGCTTTCCCCGCAGGGTGGGAATTTCCTTTTTTGTCATTATGTCCTGCCCTGGGAAGTACCCAGAGCACAGCTGTCCCTGTGTCTATGTGACTGTCTAGGTACTCACTTATGTATCCACCTATAAATCTATGCATTGATCCATCTGTCTGTCTGTCTGTCTATCCATCTATTTACCTACCTATGTGTCTACTCATTTAGGTATTTATCTATGTATTTATCTATCTAATTATCTATCTAAGCATCTATCTTCTTATATATCTAATTATCTACCTATCTATCTTTCCATCATCTGTGGACACACTGGCTGGAAACAATTCTATGTTACCCAAGAATTCTCTATATGATGAAGGAGGAATTAGTAAACAATATGAAATGATGGCACATTCAATTAAAATGCTAATTGAATAACAAAACTCCCACCTCACACTATTCCTCAAACATGAAGTGAATTAAAAATGGAATTAAAAAGTGAAACCACATTAATCTTCAAACCATAGAAGCGTTTGTGCACAACAGATTTGACCCTCACAGTTCTGGAGGGGGGAAGAGCAAGGTCCAGGTGTGGGATATATGGAGTATGTTGGGCCCACCCAACCGTGGACTCCTCGAGGTAATGCTAGTGGGGAGGAAGGCGTGAGGGCGTCCTCAGGCCTCTGTGGAAGGTGCTAATCCTGCTCCTGAGGGGCTCAGTCCTCAGGCCCCGCCCTTCTCAGAGGCCCCGCCTCCAAGTGGTCTGTCTTTGGGAATCAGGTTTCAACATGAGGTTTTTTTTTGTTTTTGAGACAGGGTCTCACTATGTAGTTGAGACTGACCTGGAACTCACTATGTAGCCCAGGCTGGTCTCAAACTCACAGCGATCCTCCTGCCTCAGCCTCCTCCTGAGTGCTGGGATTACAGGCACGAGCCACCACCACCACGCCTGGCTCAACATGAGTTTTGTGGACACAGAACAGAGAGACAAAAGTTACAAAGAAGAGGTTATTGTCTTCCACAGAGAAAGATCAAAACAAACTGATCTTATCAGAGTCCTTACATTCTTGCAGAGATCTAGAGTTAGTGGCTAACCTTTTTTGTTTTGAGACAGTCTCACTATGGAGTTCAGGCTGGCCTTTAAACTTTTTTTTTTTTTAGGGAAAAGCAGGTTTATTTTATTTTGAAACAGGGTCTCACTATTCAGGCCTACCTTGAACTCCTGGTGAATCTCCTGCCTCAGCCTCCCCTTGAGCTGGACTTATTGAAGATTACAGGGAAATGGTGCTGGGGGTGACGGAAAAGGAATGCTGCAAGCCCTGAAGACCAATCGGGCTTTCAGGCAAGAGAGAAGTGCTGAAGGTGCCTTGGTCTGAGGTTATGCAGAATGGTCCAGGGCAGCTTCCGGGCTCAAAGGGTGGAGGGGAGAGACTAGGGAAGGAGCCCAGGCTACCCCGGGCTGAGGGACGTGAACTTCTCAGCCCTCACTATTGTATCAGTGCTGCAGGTCCTGGGACTCTTGACGCATTTCAAAGATGAGCAGAGATCCACGGGCATGGCTGCGCATGCCTTTAATTTCAGCACTCTGGGAGGATGAGGGAGGCAAGTTCCAAACCAGTCTGAGACCCTGTCTCAAAAAAAAAACAAAAAAAAAACACAAGCAAACAAAAAAAGAAGCTGGGTATGGTGGTGCACACCTGTCATCCCAGCACTCTGGAAGCTGAGGCAGGAGGATCACTGCCTCCTGGGGCACATTTTTCTCTATATTTATCCTGTTAGCTTTCTATTTAAATAGGTTAACATATTCAGATATGTTAGAGGACTGTAAATTGATTCCTCCCACCCTCAGCAGCACAAACTCCAGCTGTGCCACTGACCAATGTGAGTTCAAGGCCAACCTGGGCTATATAGTAAGACCCTGTCTCCAAAAAAAAAAAAAAAAAAAAAATCTTGAAGATGTAGCTCGGTGTGAAGGGTCTTGAATTTGACTGATCCTCCTGCCTCAGCCTCCTGAGTCCTGGGATTACTGATTGTGCCACCACACCTGGCTATCGGCTGGCATTTTATTTATTTATTTATTTTTTGCCGCTTACCATAAACCAGGCACTGTTCAAAACACTTACAGATGTGAACACATTGGGTATGGGCTACTGTTCGAGGCTTCACTTTTTAGGGGCAAACCAAACAGGGGTATTTGGTAACAGGTCCTGCATCACACAGCCAGTTGGGGACAGGTGGGATCCTCCAGGCAGGCTCAGAGCTCTGTAGCCTCAAGTTTTGCTGTGCAAAGGATAACAGTTTAAAGGTATAGCATCCATAATTTTTTAAAAAAATCAATTTAACAATGGGCCAGAGTGAACACCACAAATGACCATCTTATAAAAGTGGGTATTAAAGGCAGAGCGAATAGGCAAAAGGATGAGAAGTTTTAAAGAAACATTGAAACCTGGAAAAGATATAGAATTCCAAACCCCAGAAGCAGAGGACAGAGGAAATAAAGGGCACGTATGGCAATAGCGTCACCCACCTAGCAGTCCCCTTCCTCTTTGACAACAGAACCCCAAGTTATAGCTGGGCTTATTGCTACACAGAGTAAAAGGTTATATTTCTCGCTTTCTCTGGTTACTAGGGCATGATCCTGTGACTAAATGTTGTGCAAAAAGATATGAATGGAAGCAGTGTGTGACATTAAAAAAAAAAAGTAGTTGCTTAAAAGGAGTTGACTCAGATGAGAAGGATCTATTTCTGCCCTTCTACTTTTTCTCCTTTCTCCAGCCTGCATCTTATTAATGATGGCTGGCACCACAGCAGCCATTTTGAAGTATAAAGTTGGCTTAAAGATGGGAGCTCTTTGCAAAAGAAGGAGAGGAAAACTAGATTCTTCTTGTCACATTGGAGCAACCACACCAGCCTGAGATTACTACCTCTGCACTTTTCTTATATGAGCAGAAATACAATTACTGTTATTCACAGAAGCAATTGAAAACAGAAGAAAATGTCACAAGGTTTCAAAAAGACTACAATCCACAAAGTGAAAAATCAAGCTTCATTTTTTCCCATAAAGACAAAAAGGAAGAATTTATCAAAGGAAGAGGCTACTACAATGGTGTTTGTAGTAAGGGAGTGAGATTAGGCTATTCCTTTATGATAATGTCATAACCAGTTACATGTTGCTAGGACCTTTCAGTCTTCTGAGAATAAAAGAGTAACCCGGGCAAGCAGGTCACTTTCAATAGGAAAAAGGTCAGATTGGCAAGAGACATCTCTCAGGTAACCCCGAACTCTATTTAATCAGTGAGGTCTTGAAAATACCCGGGTAGACATGTGTAACCCAGAATCACAAAAAAATAAAGTTTCCTAGGGCCGGGGATTTAGCTCAGTGGTTTCACTACCTGCCTCGAAAGCATAAGCTCCCGAGATTGATCCCCGGTACCAAAAATAAATAAATACAATAAATAAAGTTTCGCAGAACACACCTGTAATCCCACCTACTTAGGAGGCCGAGGCAGGAAGATTACAGCTTAGAGGCCAGCCTGGGTGACCTAGGGAAGCTGTGTCTCAAAATCAAGCAATAAGATAGGAGTGGAGCTGAGCTTGGGTGTAGAGCACTTGCCTGGCACAGGACTGAATTCAATTTCCAGTCCTGGGGCTGGGGAGAGGAGAGACAGAAGAGTTAGGGGTAGAGAGACAAAAGGGTACAATCGGAACAGGAAAACTAAAGGCCTCTCACACCAGAGAAATGTGCACGTCACAACTGACCACCTTGTGAAGAGGCTTCATGATAAGAATAAAAACTAAAAGGTGTGGGGGAAGCAAAACATAAGTTCACTCCAGACAAGAGTATCAGAGGGCAATAGGAAAATAGATTTCTTAAAGGAGAAATCCCCGTGGCCAGGCAAGGAACATCTTCCACACGACGGGGGAGGAGGAAGCAGTCTTCCTGGGAAAGAGAGAGACAAACAGACCAAAGGAAACGCGAAGGGTAAGTTTATCTTGAAAGATGCTCCAACACAGGTGACGTGCGCCAGTCATTCTGGGTTAGAGAAGCAGACAGACCTTGGAAAACACAAAACTGGAGAAAATATGGCGTTGCTGAGTATCTGCCAGAAATGCTACGGCACAGAGTCCTAGGGCACCGTGCATAGATAGCCTCCTGGTAAGGCTCCCTCCACTCTGTCCCCAGCACCCGGATCATCCTGTAAAATCACAGTGAAGACTCCAAACAGGCTTGTTTTGTTTTGTTTTGTTTTTGCAGATAGGGGGACTGTACCTAGGTCTTTGTCCTGAGCTACACCCCAGCCCTTTTTGAGACAGGGTCTCCCTAAATTGCCCAAACTGGTAAGGAACTTGTGCTCCTCCTGCCTCAGCTACCCAGGGTGATGGGATTACAGATGTGCACCACCACACCTGGCTCCAAAGAGATTTTTCATAGGCTAGACAAGCTGTTTTTTGTTTGTTTATTTTTGTACCGGGGATTGAACTCAGGACCTTGCACTCACCAGGCAGGCGGCGGAACCACTGAGCTAAATCCCTGGCCCTAGACAAGCTGATTTTAAATTACAGCAAATAAAAGATGAGAGACTTGCTGTATTAGCTCGAAAAATCCTAAGCAATATAATAGTCTTCAGCTAGGACAGAAAACAATAAGAAAAATAACCAAGAAAATACCAGATTTTAGGAAGGTGTGGTGACATTTCAAAGAAGCAAAGAGACTGCATGCTTGTAATTAATGATTTTTAGACGATTAGATTATTTCTTTAAAAAGTTAGATTATTACTTTACATATTACCCACCCCTTAAATTCCAAATGAATTAAAAAACCTAAAGTTAAAATTAAAGTGATATAACATTAAAAATATCTCTTTAGTCTTAGGGCTGAACAAGACAACAAAACCAGGAACTATTTTAGTAAAAAATAATGGGAGCTTTGACTTACAAACAAAATATTTTATATGATATGAGATGGCTTAAACACAGCCAAGAAAAAAGATAAGCATTAATCTGGGACGCTGTTTTTAACCTATGTAAATAATACACATAATAAATGAATCACTCTGAAAGTTAAGATGTAAAAGATAAAGAACACAAAAAAGACTTGTACGTGTTCATCGTAAATGAAATCCAAATAACCAAAAAACAAAGGGATATAAACCACTCAGCAATAATCAGGGGAAAGGAAAAAAATTCAGACACAGTGAGATAATTTTTATCCATTCCACTGAACAAAACGAAACCATTGATGCTTTCTCTAAAGATAAATTAGCTTCTTAGGCTCTTTTGCATGCATCTCAATTCAGCTACTCTGAGGATGATCTGAAAATATTTATTAAAATTTTAAATGTGTACCTCTCGCCCACAATCCAGGCTACAGAAACACTTTCACGTTGTGTAAGGCTGGAAGCTAAGAGTCGCTCACTCCCGGATTAGGTGATCTGTGATACCCATACTAATAGGTGGCCTATAGTCCTTAGGTTAATTAAGTCCAGTCTATTTTCATTATTGGGAAATGCTTTCCACAATGTATTAGGAGTGAAAAAATAAGCCCTAGAACAATGTGTGTGCTATAATCCATTTTATTATAATTCCAGCTGTAAAGAAAAGCTTTGCAGTTGTGTCACGCTTAGAATAATGTTCTAGAACGACACCTGCATCAAAGGGAATGGGCAGAGTGCCTGCGACATTGCCTTTTATGCTATTCTGGATTATGCTAATTTTTTTATACCAGGGATTGAACTCAGGACCTTGTGCTTGCAAGGCAGGCACAGTGCCACTGAGCTAAATCCCCGGCCCTGGATTATCCTAATTTTTAATGGAGAAAGTATCTATGTATTTGCTCTTTTAATGTTAGACACAGTTGCAAGGCTACCACCAATACATATATAATTGATGAATGAAAACAGTGACCAGGAGCTAATTGAAAGGTCATTGAAACTGTAAACGTTATTACAAAGCAGGAGAGAGGAACAGAAAAAAAGAAAGAAAACCCAGTTATGCAGAAATATGTAACAGCAGGGCCTTTGAAGACTAAAGACCACATCTGGCACAGACACCTGTTGTGCGAAGACACCTGCCCCTCAGCCCGGGCAAACACCTCTGGGACAGAGGCTGCAGCGGACAGCCTGTGCCCAGCCCTGGGTACCCACGCTCCGGGACAGAACACGCGCATCTGGACCCAAACCCAAATAAGCAAGGCTGGTTCTGCAGGGCATAACGATAGTGATTACACGCATGTGCTCGCACACAGAGACTGATTGCTGGCTGGAAGCCAGTCCGGGCCAGGGACTGAGTCTCTTCTCAAGTTCCAGGTGAACTTCCTAAGTCGCACCCTGTAACTTCGGGCTCTGGCCCGGCCAGGTTCCAGATGACATCCTCCACCTCCCAGCCTCTGCACCCTGCCACCCTCCCCGGCCTCCCTCTTTCTAAGCCAGGGCAGCGGGGACTCCACATTCTCCCCAGTCCGATTCCCCGGACTGACGAGGAGGAGACAGAGCCCAGGGCAGGGAGGGGACGCACTTGCTGCCACCAACACCTCATCTGCAAAGCACAGGGTGACAGGGTGTGACCCCCAGGGGAGCTGCCAGGCATCCCCCCTCCCAGCACAACCGGGTCCCTCTAGTGAGGTCCAGACGCTCAGAGCCCTCGCACAGTGGCCCAGCCACGCCCTCACCCACTGGCCACCCGAGGGCTCTGAGCTCCAGTCTCCCCAAAACCCGCAGCAGGCTGCCCCCCGCCCCGGCAGCCCCCCGTGCTTTCCCTCCCAGTCCCAGTCACTCCCTGCCTTGCCCCGCGAGCCGGGCCTACCTCTGACCTAACAGCCAGCTCCTCCGGGAGCCTCCTCGTCAGTATGCCGCTCTTGTGAGGAAACAGAGACTCGGAAAGAGGAAGCGAAGCCTGTTTCTACACACATGCCCTTTCATAAGATTGCCCAGCTTCTCAGAATTGTGGACACGACATCGCTTGCTGACAGCCCCAGATGCAACTTTTCCCTAATGACTCTCCCCGTAAACGCCTACGCACCCTGCAGGTCTCTGTGCTCGGTGTGCCTGCTGCACACAGCCCGCCCTGACTGCACCCTGGGGAGGCAGAGGGAGGCGGCCCTTGCCAGAGCAGAAAAGCCTAGGACCAGACAGCCCTGCATAGGACTGCAAATCCACTGCCTCTTAGAGCGCCACCTTGTGCCCACCACCTGCACGTGGCTTCTCCAAGCCTCAGGACCCCATCTGTTAACTTTCACAGGAGAATCTGTGCACCTGGCAGGGCTATTGAGGGCACCCAGGGAGGTGCTGCTTGGGCCGATCTCAGCTTGGAGTTGGGCACATGGGAGCCAAGATATGCAGGGGGCTGGTGGCATTATGAGTTCTTGGAGTCCCCCATCCTCTGACGCCGTGCCCCTTTTCCCAGGGGGGTGCAGGGCTGCCTTGCTGACAGCTCACATTCTCTCTCCCGGGGTCCAGCCTGGCACAGGGGAGGCCCTTAGTGACTACCGCATCTGGAGTGAATGAAGAAAGGAAGGAACGAACGAATGAGTAACTCCCTGTACAAGCAAGGCTGGGCGGGATGTGTAGGGCATCCCCTGGTGTCGAGGTTATAAGTGGCACCGAAAATCTCAGTCACCAAAACAAGTGATATTTTAATGCAATATGGTAAAAAAATAAAAATGCAAGAATAGTCATGATGAACAACAACAACAAAAAACCAAACGTTTAAATAAAGACAGGATCAGCCCCTGTGCTTGGCTGTGCCACACTGGAGTGGCAAAGGGAAAAGTGGTTGTATTTCTCCCATGAGAGGTGCGGAGATGGCCCAGGGGCCACCTGGAAAGGACCAGTGGGAGGGTAGGAACAGGACCTGCTGAGAAGCCACTGACTTCTGGCCTGCTGTTCCTTATTGTCCCCTGACTGGAAGGCCAGGGCTGGCCAGGAAGCACCAGGAGGAGGCATTGAGGTGGCTGCAGGCCTCAGAGGACTCTGGTTCTCCTGTTGGGGCTGCAGTCTCCTGATGTCCCTGTCCCTCCCTGGAGTGGCAAGGCCAGGCAGGGCTTACGTAGGGCTGGAAGGAAGGACTAGAAGCGATGGCCCTGCTCTTCTGTCCTGCCGCCCCCATCAGGCCTCCTTCCCTAAGTTCCCCGTCATGCTGGGCTGAGACCGGGGACCTGGAAAAGGGTTGCAGCCAGAGCTGGCCACCAGGCACTCAGTCTGGAGTACAGTGCTGGGCCTGTAGGTCAGGGGTGGGCAGCGTCTTCTCATCGTGAGCTTGGCTCGTCCCCGGACCACCAGGCCAGGAATGAATTTCTGTCATCCGGAAGTTGGGAGGTCTGTCTTTTGCTCAGGGAAGGCCTGACTCTACTGCTCACCAAGAGAGGCCCAGAGACACAGCCAGTGAGTAATCGGCTCAGGTAGAAACTGTGTGGGGTTCAGAGCTCCCTTCTGGGGGTGCTGTGGCCCCTTCCCCATCTTTGTGTTCCTAGCCAGGAGTGGCATCCTTGTGCCCCTTTCTGAGAACTTGGGCTGCGGCCTTCACGGTGCACTGCAGCTGAGGTGTCTTCAATGTCATGGGAGGACAAATTTGAGGACACCTGTTCCCACCCTGACTGTGTCCAGTGACTTCCCCCTTCCTTCCAGGATCTATAAACACCCCAGGCTTTTGTCTCAGGCTTCAACGGTGAGATAAGGGCCAGTCTGTGCCAATCCACCTGATCTTGACCTTGCCTTCCAGGGGGCACAGAGCAGGATTGGTGCAGCCAACTTTGTACCATCCAGCGAGGGATCACAGGCTCCTGGCCACTGTGATGCCCCATCTTCAGGTTACCACGGGGAGCCTGGACCACCATTCCACCAGAGAATTTTAAATTTCCATACACCAATGTGCACAGATCTCGAGTGTACGGAGTAGTGAATATTCATAACCACCTGGCCACACAGCTACCTGCAGACTGAGTAGAACGACCCCCGAGGCTTCTGTCATCCTCTTGCAATCACTGTCTCTCAAAGGCGACCACCACCCTGATTTCTCTCACTTTGACCCAGTTGTGCCTGCTTTTTTCTTTCTTTCTTTTTTAATATTGTGGTAAAATATTCCAAGCAGAACATTTGTCATTTTTACCATTTTTAAGTGTACAATTCAGTGGCCTTAGGGACGTTTGTGTTATGCAGGCAGCCATCACAGCTATCTGTCCCCAGAAACCCTTCCCTCAGTTTCCAAACTGAGTCTTGGTACCCACTAGTCAGCCATGTCATCCCCACCTCTCTGAGCCTCTGAAAGCCACCGTCAGGAGCTCACATGAGCGGCATCATATGGGATTTGTGCTTTTGTGCCTGTTTTGTCTCACTTAGCTCAATGTCCTCAAGGTTCATCCGGGTCACAGCATCTGACAGAACTTCCTTCTGTCTTAGGCACTTTCCTGGTCACTGAGGCACCATACCCAGAAACCTAAAAGAGGAGAGGTTTATTTTGACTCCTGTTTCAGTCCATCATCAGCTGGCTCCAAGTAAGACGGTATGACAGAGGGACCTGGCGGAGGAGAACTGCTTACCTCATGGGGACCGGAGCAGAGAGAGTGAAGGGAGTAGCCTCAAAGGAAGTTATACACTTCCAGGTCACCGCCACAGTGACCCACATCTTCCGAGCAGTCCCTACCTCCTAACAAGTCAGCAATAAGTCTCCATATTCCAATCAGTCACCTCCCCAAAGCTGCACCTCTGAGGTGTGAGGTGTGAGGCTCTTGGGGGACATTTAGATATAAACCGTTACACCTTCCTTTTAAGGCAGGGTGATATTTGATGGTATGGATAAACTACCATTGCTTATTTACTTGTTTTTCCTGGACTCTCAGATTCTCTCTGCCTCGTGACAAGTACAAATAATGCTGGTCTCAGCAGACGTGCACAACTGCCTGGTCAAGCCCCTGCTTCCTGTACTTTGGGTTTGCTCAGAAAAGAATCACTGATTATATGCTAATTCTCTGGCTAGATTTTTTCTTTACTTTTTTGTTGTTGTTGTTTGTTTGTTTTGTGGACCGGGATCGAACTCACATCCTTATGCTTGCAAGGCAGGCAGTGGATAAATTTTTTCTTTTTTTCCTTTTTTTTTTTTTTTTTTTTTTTTTTTTTTTTTTTTTTTTTTTTTTTTGAGACAGGGTCTTGCTATGTAGTTTAGGCTGACCTCGAACTAATGGTGATCCTCCTGCCTCAGCCTCCGAAGTCCTGGTCTCACCACCATGCCCGACTCTCTGGCTAAATTTTTGAGGAGCCACTATTGAGTTGTGTTTAGGCATCTCTGGTATGGAATTGCTTTATACCTGCTTTGCCTTAAATACTTCCATTGCACTAATAGGTGAAGGCTCCCTGGTACCAAGAGCCTGCTCAGTTCTGCTCTTTCCTTCTGCCTTCCTTTCCCTGTATCTGAACCTCAAATTCTGGTCCAAAGACCACCTGTACTTCTGATGAACTGGTAGAGATGCAGATTTTAGATTTCCAGATGAAATGACAGAATAAAGCAACAATCAAAGGCATCATCTCCACGGAACGGATCCAAATGAATGATCACAACCAAAGTGACCACTGAGGAAACGGAACCACCCTCTGGTCTCAGCGTCACACTGGATATGAGGAAAGTCCTGGGGGTGTCTGGTAGGAGTTTCTCTGTCCCTGCAGCCAGAAGCAACATTGAAAAGAAGGCAAGTCGACAAAGCCCGACAGAGATGTCCTTCTCGTGAAGAGAAAGCTGAGGAAAGTGCTAAGGAATAAGGTCTACTCAAACCTGGGAACACGACTTTGAGGGTCTTCGTGTCACCCAGTCACCTGCACGGCACCCAAAACGACTCAGCGTGCTTCACCTTCTCCACAGTGAGTTAGTTTTCCCCCAAAAGGAAAACAGTTATACCTTTTGTGCGGCTGTGTGGACATGCTGAGGATCCATTACACTACAAACTAGATTCTGGAGAAACATAGACTGTAAATGCACTGCTGGATTTCCCCGGAAGTGAAGGAATTCTCTAAGGCTCCTCACCCAAACAAACAAACAAAAAAACATACGATAAACAAAAATAATGAGCTGAAGCCTGAACTTTAGGCAAACAGGAAATAGCATCAAACGAATTATCAGTACAGATGTCAATCAGCAGTTCTGACAGTCTGAAATTGAAACCTTGGGCTTCCGGCAACATGGGGCAGCTGAACCTGAAATTCTTCCTTAATTCTAGGGGATCTAAATGGATTCCAGGGCTGTAAAAGCCCTGCCTCCCAGCAGCAGCACAGGCGAATCTCTTAGCAGAGAGGCATCTTCAATGAGTCGTCAACAAACTCACAAGGAAGCAGATGAGCTGCTGGGTGGACCCCCAAGAAACACACATAGTGGGATCGTCAGATACTAGGTATAAAACATAGCTGCAGGAAAGGCAGAGGCAAAGCTCACGGTCACTCTTTCTCCCCTACTCTTCTGCCCTCTTTTCTCCTTTGTCTTCTATTTTACCCATACTCCAAATCTGAATGTACCTAGGATGGCGGGCATCAGTGGCTGGAGGAAGTTGCAGGTAACAGCAGAGCCCTCATAAGAAGGGCTGTACCTCTGATGCCCTTGAAGGCACAAGGATGCCCTTGGAGGAGACAGAGAGATGAGGTCCTCAAATGCAAAGAAATCTTAGGAATCCCACCACTATTTCCTTGGCCCTCTCTTTCCATTTTAATGCAGAGTGTTATAGTATAAAAATTCCCATTTGAATGAGTCTAAGACAGCTCCTTCAATAAATGTTAAATATTCTCAGCGAGAAGAAGCGTTCTGTCTGGGTTTAATTGAGCACACCCCCAGGGGTATATAAAATAGCACGTCTTACAGTTGAGGCCATTTTACGGGGTCTGAGAAACCCAGCAGAATGTCCGCGGAGTGTCGGAGTCATGGCAACCAGGGACTGAACATTTACATAGCAGCCAGACATAAGAAGAGGAATTCCCCCACCTCTTCCTCCATGCCTCCCAATAGCCTTTGGGTCACTGTTACTATCTTCGTGTACA